TTTTAAATCTACAAATTTTAGAATCTACCCAAAATTTTTTTAATAATTTTAAAATCTAATTTCAAATCTTGATTTCAAAATATAGAGTATCAATTTTAAATTAGATTTAAGTAGCTTAAAATTTTGTTTTATTAGATATAGTTCATTCCCTACTATTAAGGCGATTGATTTTGTTATTGGATGTATAAATAATGATGGTAGATGAAGATGAAATCTGGAAAGAGGAGGTAACTCTGCAAACCCTAAATGTGACAAGGTTAGGAGGTGACTCTGTATAAATAAATCTGCATATATACCTAATTTGTTACAAGGTTATATTGGTCTAAACTATTTATTTATGATTAGAAAAAGTAATATCTGATATGTTTGGCCATTTTTTAAAACACCTTATTTATTTTGGTCATTTTTGTCGTTGCCCCAAATAAAAAATCAAACATCCACCACCTCGTTATTGTCCCGGCCCTGCCTACTTACTACCCATCCAATCTTATCTCTACACTCTATTGTTGGATCGGTATGACAACCCTGTTGGATCGGTATGACAACCCTGTTGGATCGGTATGACAACCCTGTTGGATCGGTATGACAACCCTGTTGGATCGGTATGACAACCCTAGAGGAGGTGAACAGGTGAACAGGGTTTAATGAAACTTTTTAAACTTTTTAACACGGTGGGCTCAATTGAAACAAATAAGTAAACTTTTTATGAACTAATCATTTTAACACAAAATTAAACAACAAACAAAGATCCTAATTAATTTCACCACTCAAATAATTAAAATATAAATATTGACCATAAACATGATTAACAAATTCGAACAATTAATTTCATGCAATTTGTAATAAAGAAAATTAATTGCAAAAATTAAATAGAGAAGGGTTAGAGAAAATGACACTGGAAATTTATAGTGGTTCGGCAACAATCGGCCTACTCCACCTTCCAAGCTCCTCTTGGGTGTTCAATTGAAGAACTTGACTCTTTCCACGGCTTAGAGTCCAACCGGTACAATGTTCTTTTTTCAGGAGCAAGAACAAACCTTATCTTTTCCACGATTCAAGATCAAACCGTTACAAATGCTCTTTTTCGGGTTCAAGAGCAACCCTTACAAAGATTTGGAATTTTGAATACAATCTCACAAACTCTCTCAAAGAGTATGATACACAAATTTTTGCTCACAAATTTTTAAGAAAAAATCTTACAAATAAAATCCTTCAAATTGACTAAGAGAAAATAAAATTAAATAGCTTAAAGATATCTCTCAAAATAAAATCTCCCTCAAGAATTTAGAAAAAAAATTGAAACTTTGGCTCGTAAACACAAAAGTACTGTACGCGCTCTTTTTAAAAGGTTAAATTCGGAATTATTGGAAGAATTCTTTACGGAGCAAGAACAGGTTCTTTCTTTGATCTTTCCAAAAGCTTCTTTTACTTTACGGAGGGTATATAGGGGGAAAATTTGGTATTTGGATGAAGAGAGATTAACATGGTAGAAATTGGAGAGAGGAAAAATAAATTTGAAATCGAAATTGAATTTGGACCATTGGATCTTTAATGATCGAAAATCAAAAGTTGAGATTTAATTGAGTAAAATAATAATTGATTTTGAAAATAAAATAAAATATATTTTTTTTCTACTCTCTAACGGCTTTCCAACGGTTTTTTTTTCTTCTTCTTTCTTTCAAGTTACCTCAACGGTAAGTTTTCATAATTCTTTTCATTTTTTTTTAAATCCTTTTTCTTTTCTTTTTCATTTCATTTCTTTTCTTTTTTTCTTCCCTTTTTTAAACAATACATCTCGCCACGTGTCGCTATTTCATTGGTCCGCTTGGTTGATTTAGCCGTGTCATCCTCTCGGTAATTTATCCTTTCAACTTCTTTGTTTGAGCTCCGATTTTAGTAATTCAAAATCCGTTAGAATCGTCGTATCGAACTCTGCTATATAGACACTTTAAAACACTAAAATTCTCCAATAACAAAATATGTATTACAATAAATCATATAATATGATTGAAGCTGGTAATAAATTTATGCTTTATAACAATGTTTCTTATACACCAAACATAATTTATACTAAGTGTGTTTATTATCATCAAAATATTAATTAATTAAATTAATTGACCGAGATTAAGGGCCAAAAAACCAACATCCACCTATATCCCTTTCGTTTCGTCCATCCCTTTTGTTCCATCTGCTGTTAGTCAGCTCCCGCGCAACCACCGCACGCCTTCAAGTTCGATTTCGAAGCCATCAGCACTCCTACTAATCCACTAGTTATGGTTTAATCTTTAGCAGCCCAATCCATTTAAATAATTCACATCAAATTTAAGATTTATGTCAAAAATCAAACCAAATTTTGTTTAATACAACATGTGGGAGTGGGGGATCGAACTCACAATCTCTGGATTGGAGATATATGCGAATTAAATCTCACTCAAGTCCAACCAAATTTGATTTGCAGAATTTTCAAACAAAAATTTAATTTGATTTTGCAAAGTCATGCTTTAAACATTCATGATTCATATATTTTCTTTTCTTTCCTTTTGATACCCATCACATCTTCTTTATTTACTAACCAAATTTTTACTCTAAAATTAGGGAAAATTGACAAAAAAAAATCATTCTACAGGGTTTTTTAAGTTTTTTAATCATCATTTTCAAAACACAAAGGCATTTGCTGACATCACCTTCACACCAAATGACCCTCACTACCCCTCTACTAATATTTTGCTTCCCTCCTTATTTCCTCTCTCTACCTCCATCTCCCTCTTTTTCCATATTTTTTTTTCTTATCGTTTTTCATTATTCTCTTTTCCTCGTTCAGCAAAGTTTTATTTCCAATTTTCTCTAAAATTTTCTTGGAGTTTCTTTTTACCTTCTTCTATCTTTCTGTATTTTTTCTAATTACTATTATTCCCTTTCTTCTTTACTGACCACAAAAAGCAATTTACTTTAAAAAAAACCCTAAATTTCTCAGCTTTTTTTTTAAACCAGCAGCCTTCATGGTTCCCGTGACTTCGCTGACGACGGCTGCATCAAAACCGACGAAGGAGGTCATTCGCCGAAGAAAGAAGCTCAGTGGAAGAGGAATGAGGGAGGAGATAGAGAGAGAGAGCGAGGGTGAGCGAGAGAGAGAGCGATGGTGAGCGAGAGAGAATTGAGGAAATCTAAAAATAATATTTTTAATGAAATTGTTCTTTTGACAGTATCTAAAAATTAATTTTGAATTAATGTTTATCAAATCAAATTAATTTTGAGAAAAACGGAATCTCAATATTAATTCAAATTGTTTCTCGAAATCTCTCATCAATCTCCTTAAATCTCTCAATAATGTAGTTTTAATTATAATTGAATTTCAAATCCCCCAATTTTGCTTTCCCATCTTTCATTCCTAATTTAAATTTTAATCAAATGTATCAATTTAAAATCTAATTAAAAAAGAGATTTCGGAAAACAAATTTGAATTAAATTTCAAATTCGAATACTTTCTTCTTGTAATTAGATTTTAAATTCATATTTTCATTTGATTAAATTTTAAATTAGGAATGAAAGAGATGAAAGCAAAATGAGGGGTTTTTAATTCAATCCTAATTAAAACTACGTTGAGAGATTTAATGAGATTGAAAATAGATTTCGGGAAACAAATTTGAATTAATATTGAGATAGTATTTTTAGATTCGCTCAATTCTCGTTCACCTTCGCTCTCTCTCGCTCAACCTCGCTCCCTCTCGCTCAACCTATGACCTCCTTCGTCAGCTTTGATGCATTTGTCGTCAGCAATTGCTAAAAGTCACGGGAATCGTGGAGGGAAAAAAATTGCTTTTTGTGGTGAGTAAAGAAGAAAGAGAATAATAGTAATAGAAAAAATAGAGAAAGATGGAAGATGGAAAAGAGAAACTCTAGGAAAATTTTAGGGAGAATGAGAAAAAAAAAATTGCTGAAAAGAGGAAAAGAGAATAATGAAAAACGATAAGAAAATAGAGAGGAGGAAAAAAAATTTGGAAAAAGAGGGAGATGGAGGTAGAGAGAGGAAATAAGGAGGGAAATCTAAAATATTAGTGGGGGTAGTGAGGGTCATTTGATGTGAATGTGATGTCAACAAATGCCTATAAAACTTGTGTTTTAAAAGGATATTAAAAAACTTAAAAAGGTCCTATAGAAGGCTTATTTTACCCATTTTCCTCGAGAAAAAAATAATCACGTGCTCAAATAAACTGACAAAAGAAAAATCAAACTACTCACCGAGCATTCTTGATTTGTGCAAATTTGCATGTATGATTTTCCTTTAAGATAATCCATAACTCGTGATTCTTGCCACTAAATTCAATCTTATTTAAGGAAAAAAAAATTAATCTACACATTTGGGATCTCATCAAATAAGTACCAAATTTTTTTTATAATATATCATGCTCTAATTAAGAATTACTATAGTATAATTCTAACTTGTATACAACTTAAAAATCTTTACACTATATAGCAAAACGAACTTAACTCAACGATAATTAGCATATATATCTAATCAAGAGATAGTGAATTCGAATCCCTACCCCACATGTTTACTAGAAAAAATCTTTACCTTAGGATCCTTGGGTCATCGTGACTTGTCAATTGTAACTTCCCTCTTGCAAAAATTTATCCGCATAAGAAGGTATTTATTTTTTGTTTTACTAAATATATCAAATCATCTTTTAAATTTTATTTTGTTCTTAATACTTTAAAATTATTATTTTTACTTTTAAAAATCCCTTTGAGTACTCTAACATTAAGCATTTAATTAAAACACTTTTTCAAAAGCATAAAAAAACTCACCTATTTAGGATATTAAACTTGTATCCATATTTTCATCAAAATTTTCATATGAACATGAGTCGATAAAAATATAAAAATATATATTAATAAAATATCACAAAAATGTCAAATATTTATTTGTAAATGTAAACATTTATTTTGAGTTTTCATTTTTATTGATTTTTCTAAAAGTATCCATCAACATTAACATTTTATCGATATTTATATTCACATTTCCATAAAATTGAAACCTCGATATTTTCATCGACACCGACATTTAAAACCTCAAACCTGATCGCATCGTGAACCCGAATACAATAAATCAAAGATAGTTTCTTGTACAAACTCTCAAATATTCCAAACCCCAAAATCAGAACCAAAATGCCTCTTCTCTTCACCTTTATCATCACTAAAAGCTCCCTTCTCCAAAACCCAATCCTCAATCATTGCTTGAGAATTCAAAGCCTTATCAGTGGGAAGAAGATGACCAGCTCCCAAAACCACAACATTGCTCAAACTCTTCCATTTCTGAACATAACCAGCAACTTCTCCATTGTTGACTCTCCAAATCTTTCTTTCTGCCTCCAAAAAACTCTCAATCTCTTCCCATTTTAGCTTCTTCACCCAAGCCTCAGTTGAGACCACACCATCTCTCAAATCAAACTGCCCTTGATAGAGCAAAACTTTGGTCTTCTTCACCAAAAAGTCCACTTTGTACCTCACACTCTTCATCACATCTTCATGAAGAATCTCCCCCACAACATCACTGCATTCTTCAAAAACTAGTGATTCATTCACTCCCATTGCCTTCTTTACCCCCTTGGAGTTCAAAAACTCGGCCACCAATTCGTCGTTGTAGGGAGCTTTTCTTGTATAGTCGTAGAGAGTGGCCAAACCTGGTTAAGAACAACGTAATCTAACAATTTAAGCTTTTGAATTTAGTAGTAGTTTAATGTGATATTATAATAGATTGAGGTTTTATGTTTGAACTTGAGACTCAAAGGCTGTATTATGTTTGTTTAAAAAAATAATCAATTTTTGTCATTGATGTGCTATTTTTCTACCTATATCTGCTTATCAAATGTTAATTTCCTCCAAGTGATGTTGGCTTTAACAACACATGCTTACATTAACAAACTAATATACATATCTGAAGTTGTGTCATTAATTTGTTAAAAACAAAACAAAGGCAAGGACCAAAGTGATTAATTTTTGAACATAAAAGACTTAAAAAAACCATTTTGAAAGTTCAACGACCAAAATGACACAAATCTCAAAATCTAGAGACCAAAATGAACATTTTAGAAGTCTAGAACCAAAACGAAACAAACTTGAAACTTCACCCACCAAAATGAAATTTAAACCATATATTAGTCTCTAATATTTGAGTATTTTTCCAATTCAATCCATTACATTTTGACATTTTTCAACTCAGTCCCTCCCCGCAAGAATTAAGCCACCAAAGAGAGAAAACAAACAGGGTATATCAGATCAAAAATGTTAAAATCTAGCTATGAGACTGAATCCAAACCAAACTAAGTTTTGAAAACACCCTTAAAAGACTAAAACAAATATTTACCCACGGTTAAAAATACTATATTCTATAACCATCCGGCTTAAACTTGTAATTGAACAAACCTGTCATATTCTGCAGCAAATCCAAGACCCTAATCCTGGCACTGGTGGCCTCACTCCAATTCCCCATTTTAGTCAACTCCACAGCTTCCGTTTGAGCAATCTCCAGCTCCTTCTTCTGCCTCTCATTAACAAACCCAGAATAGAAAGCATTCAAGGCATGAGTAGCAACTTGAGTGGCAGGGTCAGTGAGGCCATCTCCAATGGCGACTCCAGCCAGAGCCACCCTCTTAGCAGCAGCCAATTTGGGGTTCTTCTTCAGAATGTAATACCCAATGGAGGGCACATATTTTCCCGCGTAGCTCTCCCCCGTAATGTAAATTGGTCGGTTCCTAAACCCCGAATCCAGCTCGAGAAACGCAGAAATAGCAGCAAAAAGATGTTTGGAAACAGAGTATTGGTCTCTGGGGATCTCGTCTGCGGCTGCGGCGATGCTGAAGCCGGTGCCGATGGGGTTGTCGAGGAAGAGGAGGCCGAATCGGCGGTTCCAGGAGGCGGGATTTGGCTGGAGGAGAAGTGGGTCGGATTCTTTCTTGTGGAAATTGAGGCGCCATGGGCCGAGCTCGAAGAAGTTGCCGATCATGGAGGAGCAGCCGGGGCCGCCCTGGAGCCAGATTAGAAGAGGGGTTTTGGGGAGAGGGGAAATTGGGGCTTGGGCTTCGTAGAAGGCGAAGTAGACGGCCGATTCGGAGGCGGGGCTGACCGGAAGATAGCCGGATTTGGTCGGGAGAGCTCCGGCCGGGAAAAATGGAGATGAAGCGGCGGCGGCGGAGAAGAGGAAACAGAGGAGGAAGATGAAGTTGGGGTGGTTTGATAAGGATTCCATGGGGATTCAGAGGAATAAGTTTCGTAATCTGAAGAAATGATTTTGAGGGAGAAATCGGAAATGGGGAAATTAGAGGAGAAGATGAGAGTTGACGACTCGCTAGTTAGTCACTACAGAGTAGCGACACATTACTGTGATTTGTCGGGGGTTTCGCCCAAGGTCACATAGAAATCACCAAAATCATTGTTTGCTACCCTCGTTAAGTCTCCAAAGATACATGAATCGGAATATCGAGATCTCAATTTTTGTAACGACAGAGAGACTAATATTTATAAAAATACTAAAAATATTTAAATTAACAAATTATCGATATTATAGAAATATTGATTTTTTCACGTGGGTGTAGAATTCATTCACAATCTTGAAAACTTTTGTTTACTTGTTAGAGATTTCTAGGAGCTTCATGTTTATGGACGATATTGATTTTCTCTTGGCTAGTGCAGTGGACTCTATGAGAGGTAATTTAGAAGGGCCTCGTATAGTTCAATTTTGGGGTATTATGCCAACAACTTACTATTGCGAATCTTTGTGATGTAGAGCTTTTGGATACGTAAAAATATGGACAGAAATTTAATATCTTCATACGGAAAACATAGCTTTTTTTTTTTTAATAAATAGAGTTATGCAACTTTTGAAACTACGAAACTTTCTTGAATTTGACTAAATAATGTTTAGAAATGATCAAACCCTTGTATGGGACCCTATGATAACATTAATTCCCTTTCATTTATCACCATTTTGAGGGACCACCCGATTCAATTTAAAATAATTCAAACTTGTTTATTGTAAAGTTGAATAGAGTTGTTTTTGTTAATTATTTTTTTATGTTAAATTATAAGTCTGATTTACTGAATTTTAAAATTTGTATCTTCAAGAGAAAAAAAGTCTAAAATTTCATCGACTTTTAATTTTGTGTCTTATACCTTTTGACCTATTTAATATTTTTTTTTTGAAGTTAACAAATATGTTGTGGCTAACAGAATCTTTAATTATCAATGTTGTGGTTAATAAGTTTGGTGTTTTAAAAAAAATATTGAATAGGTTAATAAGACATAAAATTGAAAGTTTAGTAACCTAGTTAATTTGTTGGAGGTAAAAATGTAACTTGCCACATGGAGAGATAGAAAGATCGGTATGCTAGATCTTTCCGTAGAATCTCGGAGACATGACATGACCGACCTTTGAAGTTTGATCAAAGTTGACTTGTAAGCTCGTAAGTTCAATCTAACATTGTTGGTTGAACAGAATGTCATGATATGACCTAAGGGACCCGATAATCTATAGCTATGCAACAGATTTCTCAACAACGAACATATATAATAGAACGATCAGACATCCTATAATTATTAAATAAAGACATCATTCTGACCCTAGGTACACAATCTAAACCTCGACTTGAGACCTCAAATTGACCTGTTACTGACTTAAGCATAAGAGTTTATTTCTTTGTGCAAAATTTCCTTACCAAGCTTACTTCGCGAGTTCGACCAATCTGATCTTCTCCAGCCCTTGAGTCAGATAAAAATTTATCACAAACATAGCTATCATATATTTTTTAAATTCAAGACCTATTAAAAACTTAATTTATGAATTTATTTCACACAAATTTGAAAGTCAACCACTAAATTCATAATTTAAAAATTATTATTATTATTATTATCTACAAGAGGACAAGTGCAAAAGGAAAAGAAAAAAAAAGGCATAAAATAAGAGGAACAGAAAGAAAAATGACTCAGCTCTCACTAATATAGTAATATAATATTATAGTTCAAATTGTTTTGTTGAAAGGGATTTTATCCCAATAATAGAATGGATTATATTAGATATCCAATATATAAATTAAATTTATCAAATCTATGAGCTTAAGTTTTTGGGTTGAGTTGTGATTTATTCATCCTTAATACATCGAAAAAGAAGAGTTTGATAATTTTTTTTTTGTTATTTTTTCACTTATTTGTAAAAGTACTTAAAACGCAAAAATTTCATGTTTAATCGAGATTGATGGTAAACTTCTCGATGATCGATTAATATGTAATTGGAATAATGACTTTTGAAAAAATTATTTTTAAATAAAAATACTTTCTCTACCAGCACTGTTTAGAAGAATTATTAATTTAGAGTATTAATATAGTTTCCCCATCCTCATGCTTATTAAAAATTTAGAGTGTTTAGTAATAATTAAATAAGTATTACTTTTAAAAAATCAAATGACTTTTAAAACTGTTTTGAGAGAAATATTTGAGCGATGGTTTCCTAAAAAGTTCTTTTAAATTAAAGTGATTAAGGCTGGTGTAGTTTAAGTATAGGAAAGATGATGATTACTCATTAAAAAGTATAGGAAGAAAAATGCTTAGAATTAAAAATAAATACCATATTTACCTAAGATTGATAGAGAAGAATCTCGATAAATCAAAGATGGACAAAGATGTTGCAAGATTATGGGAGATGGATCAAGATGTTAAATTTTAACACGTATTTTCTTTTGTTTCCTAAAATATATATATTAAGGTAAATTGCAAAAACCACCCATAATTGTTTGTTGGGATTTTTGGATATAAAATAAAATAAATAAATAAAAAGGAAGGAGTGAAAACAAATAATGGGCCAAAATCCCAAACCGTTTCACATACTCATATAGTGATTAGTATCATAGACTATTTAGAGACTATAATTACATAAATGATTCAATGTAAAAAATTTACACTTTTGTCATGAAATAACCTCATTTAAGATGGTACCCATCACCAATTTACCGTAATATTCTTTTATGTTTACACCTAAATATTAATTATTTTTTGAAATTCAAAATTGGTTATTTGGAATGTTACATTTTAAATCTCTTATTTCATGCCTAATTAGACTTTCCAAAAATAAAAATTACCAAATCCCCAAAATACTACCCAAATCTCCAAAAGTCTCCATTATTGCAAATTTTCGAAAAAAATCATCCTCCTTTCGTCATTTCTTCTTCCTTTCTCGTTTTCTCTCCTTCCACAAACATCATTGTTTCCGTCCGTTCGAGCTTCTTCTTTGTCGTCGGAGCAGACCGTTATAGCTTCTTCATCATCGTCGGCCGCCCGTCGACCGTTCGAGCACTCTGTTTATCCCGAGGTTTGTTTAGTCACTGATCGGAAGGTCATAGCAAATTTATCGTAAATCATTGTGTCATCGAATCTGTTCGTTTGTCACGAGTTGTCAACGGATCTTTGTAGAGAATGTTGTCATCTGCCAAGGGAACCACACTACCACTGGGTCGCCAGATTTGAGTGGTGTGAAATTTAGGTGTGAATTCTTCTATTTATGCGAATATAATATATATCTACAACTAAGTACCATTTTGGTAGTTATAGGAACTCAGTTGGCAGATATATTTTATATTTATCGTATAGGTTTATCTTGTAATTGTATTGGATTGCATTTGCTAAGTTAATGTTAATAAGAACACTTCATAATAATGAAGCATGTGCTAGGGTATCTAAACTTATAGAATAGGTTAACATTATATGCAAATATAATATATATCTACACTATTAAGTTTATATGAGATTGAGACTTCAATAGTTAAAGATTATACCCGGATATATTTTATATCTATTATATACCAAATTACAAGATACAATAATTCAGTTATGTTGCTTTTTGTTGCTGCGGAAAACTTTTGATGTTACACTTCTTAATATCATTAAATTGTGAGTAAATTGTTAGTATACTTTTCAACTATTTTGAATTTGAAATCATGGATAAATCTACAGATTAATTAATTTAGAAATTAAAATCATGATAATCTTTTTGTAATTAATAACAAGGACTAGACTCATGACTCTTGAAATCAGAAACAGACTCGATATTAGACTTAGAGATTGTTGTGTGAACTTGGCTGGTATGACTTTGAGTTGGCTTTGAAGTATTTAGGTAGAGTTGGTAGAACCCATTTTTAAGTTTTTCTTGGAGCACCATCATCCCTGTTTCCTTGTCCTTCACAAAACAACAATTCGAGTGAAATTCAACAAAGCAATCATTGTCCGCAGTCAATTTAGAGATGCTCAATAGATCTCTTTTAATTTGAGGGACATGTAGGATGTTCTATAGATGCAAAGGCACATGCTTAGTAAGACAAATGTTATGTCCAATATTGTCAATGCTAAGTTTTGAGCCATTGCCAACATAGATAGAATAATTACCTTGATATTTGGTATGAATTTTCAGATTTCTAATGTCTGGAGTTATGCGATTACTTGCCCCACTGTCAGCAAGCCAATTTGGATCTGCCACAACATCTGGTGTAGCAATGTATGCACTGCCTTTGTTTCCAAATTCTTGATTGTGAGAGGCTGGAGAGAATTCTTCATCAAATCGATGCCAACAATTGCCTGCCACATGACCAATTTTCCCGCATAGCTGACATATAGGTTTTGAGTTATTTGTTCTGATATTTCCTCCTCTTCCGCCTCGTCCTTTAGGTTTGTAATTCCCTCTCAAATTCTTATTGATGTAGCCTCTGCCTTGGCCTTTGTTGAACTGATTTTTGTTGTTCCCTTGACTGAGTGTATTTTGCCTATTATAGGCTATATTGGCTGTCATGTTGCCAGTCTCAGTAGGTTGATTGACCACATTCAGGTTGATGAGGGTGTTTTCAAAGGTGATGAGGGTTGCATATAATTCTTGCCATGTTATTCCCACCTTCTCATTAATTTGACATGTGATGGGTAGATATTCCGCGTCTAAACCGGATACAATATAGGATGTAAGATCTCCCATTTCAACAGGAGCATCAGATAGCGCTAAATTATATATTTTGAAGGAGCATTTACATGAAAAGAACAGAGCATTTACAAAAGACTGCTACAATGCCATCCAAGAGAACATTGGTACAAGCATCAACACTCGTAAAAAATAGTACGATTATCCAAACATCTTTATAAGCATTAACAACCATCAAAAGCTGCACGATCATTCCATCTTTGAC